CCCCTCTTTTTTATGTGAACCTACAAATAGACCCCTCGTTTTCTAAATTCTTTTGGTATCTTATTTGTGTTTATCGCTGCCCCATGTCAGTGGACATGTACTTGTGGTCTCCATAACTGTGGTGGTTTGTCCGTACTGTTGGTCTCAGTTCTACAAGCTGTCCTACTTCTTTTGATGAGTGGTTGGCGAGTGCTCCTAGTTGTTGTGTTGTACTCCTTCTTTACTATCAAACATAATGTTACTATCGACCGTTTTTCTCCTCCTTCTTTTCTTTGTATGTCACTCTATCGTAACTCCTTTAATCATTGGTGGGTGGTTGGCGGGTGCTCTAGTGTGGTTTGCTCCTTCTTTCCTATAAAAAAAATATATCATCTATATCTTCCCTCCTTCTTTTTTTGTGTTTTACTCTCTTGTAACACCTCTAATCTTCTGCTCTTATATGACCTTATTGTGTTGCAAGTGCCGTAAAACTCTTACTAAAACTTCAATCATTGGCCCTTTCATAATAAGGACATTTATGTTGCTAGTTCCGTAAATTAAAAAAAGAACCCTCTTACTAAAGCTAAATCTAATTTTTAAACTAATCTTTCATCTACTTACGTATCCGTCTGTTTGTAACTTGTAACAAAAATAGGCTCTTAGTCTTACTTCGTTCACCCCGTTCATCCTTCTGCCCCCGTGCGCTCCCTCGCTTGTGTATGCGTGTTTCATCAATGTGTAACGAATATGCGTATTTTTCATTTACTCAGAGAAATGGAAACTGAGGTAGCCTGATAAACCAGCCAATTCTCAGTCTTCACATGTACTATACCGGTTGCTGTGACCGTGCCCTTCGCTACTTAAATTCTTTACGAATACTACAATGGGATTTTAAGCATGTTCTTATGAATTCGTGTACCAAGGCTTAAATTGCGCGTAGCGTAATTTTTTTAAAGCTTCGTTTATTACGTGCCTCGCGTGCGTGCCTCGAACCAGCGTCCCATTGAATTTGCGTTCTGAAATTCCCTCGTTTGTATGCCTCAAAGTTACGTTTCCTGTGAACAATTTCCGTTGCGTGTATGCTGAGGTATGCGTCACGGGCCAGTGGTTGCACTGACGTCACCCCAGGTATGATTCATATCACGATACGGTTGCAGTCACGGGTAAGGTATTTCGGCTGTTCTGGGGATTTCTTTTTTTTCCAGTTTCTAATAAATAACCACGTGAGATCGGGTAGAGCTTACATGACACGCTGGCCGCGAAACACATTGGTTTGGCATGTGTGGTGGTGGTGGTGTGTGTGTGTGTGTGTGTGTGTGTGTGTGTGTGTGTGTGTGTGCATTTGTGTGAGTGTAGTTTTGTTTTCTGATAATTCTAATCATGATATGTCTGTCTGTCTGTCTGCCTGCCTGCCAATCTTTCGGTCTACCTGCCTATATGTAGATCCATGTATTTATGTCTGTCTGTCCGTTGCGGGTAATAAGAGGGCGCCACTCGGAAGCCCATCCACTTTTGTATCCTTCTGGGTTGTTTTTTCCTGTCTGCAGTTCTTACCAGCACTGTGTAGATGTTTTTCTTTTTACTCAAACCGTTAGTTAATTTGTCTCTGAATGTATCAATCACTGATATGATTTTCCAAGGTGTAAACTCTATCCTGATCAGAATCAGATGTTTTTGATACACACGCGTATAATTACACGGGCGGACACGCACATACAGACAGACAGACAGACAGACAGACAGACAGAGAGAAAGAGAGAGAGAGAGACTTACAGACACACATAACACACACACACACACACACACACATACACACACACACACACACACACCTTGTTGACATCGATTAATTAACCCTATCCGTACGCTCTGGTGTCATTTTGTACCGCCGGGGTTGTATTCTTCACATTTTAGAATATTTCTAG